AAGCATGATTTACATGATTTAGATTAAAGGAAGGGTACAAACAGACTCAGGGTGCGAATGTAAAAGGGATGAACGTGAATTGGAGAGAACATGATTTTGGGTGAAAAGTCAAAAGACAAGAATTCGAAAAGAGGGGGGGATGAATAATCTGGGAAATATATTTTGCCATTTTTTTGTCTGGGAGCAAGGGGGATAGAAGTAGAAGTTAGGGGAGAAAATTTTAGAGTAAAAGGGAAGAGAAATAGAGGTTGGGGATGCGGAGTGGGAATCATTTCGGAGGGAAGTTATGCCTTTATATGGGGTAAACCCTTTTACTAGTCATTATAGACGTTAACGATAAATATTTTACTCCATTTGACCCTAACGTGGCTATGAAATTAGATTTTACGAATGACGATATAAAATCAAGACTCATTTGACGCTAACGGTAGATGCTGAAAATGACCATGCATCCCCTCCACTTTGTCTTTGACTGTTTGACACCGATATTTTTCAAAACAGGCTATACATGTTCAAAACTTGCGAGTTAACAGGTTAAGGGTCAAGTAAACACATCAATAAGATACCAGCCATAACGATTATACATAGAACAGAAATTTAGCCCATGCAAGATTTCAGCCTTTAGTCTTTAGAAGTGTCAACTTGACACTATAATCTCTCTGTACTTTTGATCACTCTGGTAATTTTATGTCACTATTGTATAAAACTCATTAGTACATTTGTATTTATGATGTGGCACTGCAGAGAAAAATAAATAAATAAATAAATAATTAAATAATTAATTAAAAAAAAAAGAAAAAAAGGGGAATAAGTAATTAACCCTTATAAAACCTTAACTATCTATTTTGTGAACCTTCCAGTATCTTTAATAAAGACCCCTAACAAATGTTGAATATCTTCTATGTGATGTTTGTAATTTTCATTTTCTGTTGTTGCTAATAATACTTCTGATTCAAGTGTTAGTTTTGATGTTATGAAGTAGAGTGCAGAGCGGAGTTTCTCTCTAGCCTCCTCATAATTTTCACAATACAACAGATAATGGTCAACTGTTTCTATTTGTCCACAGCTGCATTTGTCGATGAGTGCTGGGCATATCATTGATTTGTAAGAGTTTAAATTACAATATCCTGTTCTTAAACTAGTAGTTATCCGATATATTTCAGTTGAAGGTTTGTCTTTTGGAATTGTATTTTTTACATTTTGTTGAAAGGAATAATATCTTCTTCCTTTATCACTGGTGTCCCATCGGTTTTGCCATTTTAACATTACACTGTCTTTTGCTCCTTTTTGTATATCTTGTTTTGTAAATATTGGAATGCTTTGTATTTTTTCTGCCTCCTGTGCTGCTTTTTTAGCTAGTTGGTCTGCTAGTTCATTACCTTGTATATCAGCGTGTCCAGGGGTCCATTCAATGGAAACAATGATTCCTTCAGATTTTAGTGCCAATATACCGATTTTAATATCATGAATAGCTTTGCCGTAATTATCTGATTTCCAATTTAAAGTTAAAATTCCGATTGCTGATTGGCTGTCTGAGAAAATTTTGATGGATTCAGTATTTTTTCTGTTGTTTGGAATTATAAGAAAATCTATTACCAGCTTGATAGCTACTAATTCCCCTAATAAAATAGATCCTCTATTGGAAACTGGCTGTGTTAACTCCACATGTTCTGTGCTGTTTGATATTAAAATAGCTGCCCCAGCCCCGCATGGACCTGGGTTTCCTTTGCAGGAGCCATCAGTGAAAGCTAATGTTGTATTCTTTTTTAGTTGATGTATTTTTTCCAAAATAATAGTCTTTCCCTGAAATGCTTGTTCCTCTGATCTAGACTTTGAACTTCCAAGATTTTTCCAATACTCTGGCAGTGATTTTCAACAGTAGCGAGTATTTTGAGATAACCCCCCACTTTGTATTTTTCGTGATACTGATAACATTTGGCTGTCTAATATATTAAAATCTATGTTTTCTTATGTAATGACTCTACCTCATCGTTGTCTATTCGCCACTATGTCTGTTATTCATGCACATTGTCGTATTTATCAGTGCAGTGTGCTGCTCAACAATGGCGACCCTGAAATTTCTGTTGTCCGATTATGGCGTCAAATTAGAGGGAAGCAACTCGCGCCAGACAAAATTACCGTATTTCACCAAAATAATCAAAATTTCGATTTTTTATAACAAACAGTAAAATGTTAATCACATTTATATTCAGCTATCGTTCATTGATATAATTACAAACATTATTTTATTCAAAGACATCAATAAAAATCCACAAGAAAGTAATAAATGGAGTGCATTGAAATCAGGCCTCATGGGGTAGAGGGGTTAAACAAAAGCTCGTAACTTTTTTAAAAGCCTGGTGACCCCAATTTAATTTTACCTTAAAATGCTCGAAAAGTTCATATCTTTGACATATCCGTTTTAAAAAAAAATCTACCGGAGAAATTTTACGAAAAATCGATTTAACCAATATTTTTAGCCTTAAACTGAAATTAGAAAATGCAAAATTTAGACATAAATCTGAAAATAAAAGGATTTTAAAGTCTAAAACAACCAAGGGGAACGTTTACATTTCAAATTTAACTGTTTTTTTCACATAATAATCATACTGACATGGTTCTAAAAGTCTTTGAATTTGATGTAGTCGTTATTGTTGTAAGGGTGGAAACGTTTGGAAATAGGGTCAAAATAGCACATTTCGCTTCCATTTGAGGGGAAAACGAGCCTGGTGACCCCCTTTTTTCTTTGCATTTTTGGATTCAGCATAAAAAAATCTACAAAATATGTGAAAGTAAAAAAATTCTACCGGGGGTCCTTATTGGGGTGAGCCACCTTAATACCCTTTGAACTGAATTCATTTGTGCAAAGTTCCTACCCCTGGCAAAAGATCATAGTTTATTCCTTAGATATATCTGTTAGAATAAAATAAAATGTTTAAAAGCAAGTGAATTTCTTAGAAAAATAATCGGAAATTTTATCTTAAAATTTTTAAAACATTTGATATCACTTTACAAAACATGTTTCAAATCCAAGATCGCAGTCACCATGATGTTCAGTTTAATAGTTTGGATCTTAAAGATTTCTAATTGATTAATTATTTGGCTGTTGCTTTCTTAATTTCCAGTATATATATATATATATATATATATATATATATATATATATATGAACGTTGTTTTCAATTTTGACTTGTATATATATACATAAAGAAAAGTTAAGTAGAATCCATATGCTGGTAACATAAGAAAATTAATAAAAGATAATAACGGTTTCAATTCATCACATTTACTAGCGCTTTCACTGCTTTTACAGGTAATTGATTGACGTTAACAATAGTATGACGTTAACAAATGCAAGGGAGACTACTAATGACATTTATAAATTTGAGTAAAGTCTTTAAAATGTTATTTAAGTAAAAAATAAAATATTATTTATCATTTAAATAGGGGTTGAGAATGTTTATGAATAATTCTTTCTTCTTTCGGAGAAAATCATTTTGACGATTCACTATATACAGTGGAAATATCTTAAATCCTCCATTAGAACAACGATGGAAATGGTCGTTAGACCGGATGATTGTTAAATCTTCATGGTTGGTTTGCTGCCTATGAACAGTCATTCTAGTCTGCAGAACAGAACAGTGAATACATCGAACTTTTAAGACCAGATGATTTAAAATTTCGACCTATTGTGGGCGGACCCAACAGCGTCACACAGAATTTAAGCCATTTTATAGGCATTGTACTTAAACCTTTATTTCGTGAAATTCCCAGTTTTATACGAGACGATTTAGAATTTTTAAATCAAAATAAGAAGAAAGAAGAATTATTCATAAACATTCTCAACCCCAGATTAAATGATAAATAATATTTTATTTTTTACTTAGATAACATTTTAAAGACTTTACTCAAATTTTAAATGACATTAGTAGTCTCCCTTGTATTTGTTAACGTCATACTATTGTTAACGTCAATCAATTGTTTTGTATACAAGTCACATTACCTGAAGATCTGTAAAAGCAGTGAAAGCGCTAGTAAATGTGATGAATTGAAACCGTTATTATCTTTTATTAATTTTCTTATATATACATATATATATATATAAACAAGCCTAAACTTTCAAACCTATGATTGCGTTGGAATAAAAACCGCATTTTTATACGTGTGCATGTAAAACAAATTTCATTGTAGAGGGGTCTAAATACAGCACAAACAACATTTTCCAAAAGACCAAAAAAGTGAAAAAGTATATTTTAACAAAACGCATTTGACTAGCAGGTCGAACAACTGATGTTCTTAAACCCTGCTGACTGCTATTGACGATTGCCAAATAAATTGATCACAAGATGTAAGAAAATGGATCTTTATATTAAATTAATACCAAACAGAAAACAATAAACTTGCGGCAAGATGGTATACCACAAACATGACAAATGCATGAGGTGCTAAAATTTGTACACCATATCCGGATTTCGACAATTAATGTCTCTTCAGTGATGTTAGGGATTGAAACAGTATTTGGAAGGCCATATAATTGTCCTCAATTTAGGATAGACTCTTGAATTTAAAGAGTCGAAATAGGATGAACGGATTATATAAACCGGAGGGAAAATATAATACAAGCCCAAACGAAAAAATATAAACAAGTCTAAATTGAAAACAACGTTCAGACCTATGATTGTGTTGGATAAAAACTGCAATTTTTATATGTGTGCATGTAAAACAAATTTCGTTGTAGAGGGGTCTAAATCAGCACTAACAACATTTTCCAAAAGACCAAAAAAGTGAAAAAGTATATTTTAACAAAACGCATTTGACTAGCAGGTCGAACAACGGATGTTCTTAAACCCTGCTGACTGCCATTGAGGATTGCCAAATAAATTGATCACAAGATGTAAGAAAATGAATCTTTATATTAAATTAATACCAAACAGAAAACAATAAACTTGCGACAAGATGGTATACCACAAACATGAGGTTCTAAAATTTGTACATTGCAGGTTGCCTCTAAATATAAAACAGTTGAAATGCAGAAAACTTTTCCTGTTGAATTCCTGCTGCCATTGCTCAGAATATCTCTATTGCCAGATGCTTCAATGAGGGCCACTGTTCAGGATATACTACACAAGCTTATAGATCGTCATGACAATACTGATAAACTAAAACATATAACGTGAGTCAATTGTCATAGTTCAGTGAATACAACATAATTATGATAAGTTATTAATGCAAAACTGTAAAACTGTTAAACTCACCATATATGTTGACATTTAGTTGGCTTTTGGTTTTTGATGCAGCTTGCGAGACATAGGAATTACTATCCAGTGGCAGCCTGAGCATAAAATATTTGTTTAAAGCTTTATATTTCAGAAGATAGAAGACCTTGATGCTTCATACCTTGTATGCAGATACCTTATGTTATGAAATTTCTGTCTGTCATATGTCCATTGTCATTTACCTCATTTTCATGGTTCAGTAACACCATAAAAAAAACAAATTACAGTTTTTTTCTCATGTAAATTTCTCACTCTTAATGAGTAATAAGATAACTATATTGAGTAAATAGGGTCCTTGCAAATGTCTGTCAGACAGAGTTCACATGACCTCCACCTCATTTCATGGATCAGTGATCAAGGTTAAAATTACATGACTAAGTTTTTTTCTCAGATACTATAAGCAGAAGGTGAACTATATATAATGTATGGAATGATTGTGAGGGTTACATGTCAGTCTGTCAGGATTCATCTGGCCTTGACCTCATTTTCAAGGGTCAATGGTCAATGTTAAGTTTTCCTGGCTAAGTCTGTTTCCCAGATACTATAAGCAAAAAGTTCAACTATATTTGATATATACAATGATATATGGAATGATTGTATGGTGTACATGTGCATCTGACTTTGACATCCTTTACTTGGTTCATCGGTCAATGTCATGTTTTCATTGTTTGTATAAAAAGAATATGTGGTATGATTGCCAATGAGACAACTCTCCACAATAGACCAAATGACACAGAAATTAACAACTATAGGTCACTGAATGGCCTTCCAACAATGAGCAAATCCCTTACTGCATAGTCAGCTATAAAATGCCCAAAAATGACAAATGTAAAACAATTCAAATGAGAAAACTAACAGCCTAATTTATGTACAAAATAATGAACGAAAAACAAATATGTAACACAGCAACAAATGACAACCACTGAATTACAGGTTGGTCTGTTTCTTGTATACTATAAGCAAAATATCAACTGATGTATGTAATCATGGTAATGATGGTAAGGTATCTGTCTGGCTTGGTTTTTCATGGATCATTGATAATGTTAAGTTTAAGTTATACTTGTAGTAAAACTTTATTTTTAGTTCTATCAACATAAAATAGATCATTGATAATAAAGCAGGTGAGACATTTCAGTATGTTCACTCTTGTTTTCCATCCCAATCATTGAATTTGATTTTTTTAATGAAATGGACATTGACTTAACTGCAGACCGCAATGAGTATCCCAAATTGAACTGTGATGTTAACAGTAATTTGAACATAGCCATTCGCTCGCAACAGAAGCAGGATACCAGTTGACTATAAACATATAATATATCACTTCAAGTTATCTGTACCCCTGTATTTGTATAGTGGAAAGATCGATTGCAGGATAAAAACTTGTACTGCCATGCCAATAGATGATTCAAAGATTTCTACTCCCATGCCAATAGGCGATTTAAAGATTTGTACTCCCATGCCAATAGGTGATTCAAAGATTTCTACTCCCATGCCAATAGGTGATTCAAAGATTTGTACGAGAATGCCAATAAAAAAATATACCAAAACGATCAAGAAAATTGATAATTTTATTTAGTTCATAAATAGGAGAGCCGTGGTGTAGTGGTTAGTGCATCGGACAACAAACACAAAGGTTCCTGGTTCAATCCCTGTTCCGGGGAGAAAATTTCAGGGACTGAATTTTAGGCTCTCCCTAGACACCATTTGCAAGTATGGTCTTGAGACGATAAATGGCTGACCCGTGGTAAGAGAGAGCAATATCTCTTGCACGTAAAAGACACCCTTGTAGATTTCGAAAGAGCAGGATAATGCCGCTACAAGGCAGCACTTGCATCAGCAAAGTTGAAAGGGATTAATATAAGTTGCAATAACTTGTTTCCCAATCCACTATAAAATAAATATGTTTAAACAAGAAAATTGATTTGTATTCAGCTTAATCATGTTAATTACAAATTTTATTCCAGAATACCTAAAGATGTTGGTGATTTAGATCTAGTTGTAGAAAAAAATTCCCGACATGACAGCCTGTTTATGAAGAAGGTTTGTTTACATAAAGATTACAAATTTTAGATAAAAATTGCATTTAAATCAACATTAATGACAACAATATTGAAATCAAAATAACTGTTTTTGAGGGGTATAAGTAGTTTATATGAATTCTCCATGGACTCTGGCTTCCTCCACCAATAAAAAATGGCTGGACAATATTCCCAAGAATGCTGAAAGTGGTGTTGAACACAGATAATCAATCAATCAATCAATGTTTTCATCTGTCAAAATGTGTCCATGCCTGTTTTACTACTTCTTATGGCTGTTGTCTTTGAAGTCCAACATTCCATGATGGTAATATAGGAAAGAACAATAAATGCATGGTCAAGATAAAACATTTAAAATTCACCGATTGGTCAAAGAATAACATTCTGGCTGCTGAACATGCATTGTATACATTATTGTTTAGGGGCCAGCTGAGGCTTGCCTCCATGTGCAGAATTTTCTAACTGCATTGACGACACATTGGTGGCCTTGTGCTGTTTTCTGATCTTTGGTTGGGTTGTTGTCTCTTTGACACATTCCCCATTTTCATTCTCCATTCTGTTGAAGTTATATAATGTTGCAATCAAAGCAATCTGTCAGCAGTTCTCTTAACTTTTGTTCTTTCCTAATTTAGATAAAAACATAAAGAAAGCCATCATAAATCTCCACCTAGTCCCACCCATCTACAAAATAGTTATACTGTTCTATAGATTTTGAAATATAAACAACCACCTAATCCCACCTAGCCACAAAATAGTTATACTGTTCTAAAGAGATTGAAATATAAACAACCACCTAATCCCACCTAGCCACAAAATAGTTATACTGTTGTAACTAAATTGAAATATTAACAATCACCTTATCCCACCCATAGACCAAATAGTTATACTGTTCTAACTAGATTGAAATATAAACAATCACCTAATCCCACCTAGCCACCAAATAGTTATACTGTTCTAACAAGATTGAAATATAAACAATCACTTAATCCCACCTAGCCACAAAATAGTTATACTGTTCTAACTAGATTGAAATATAAACAATCACCTAATCCCACCTAGCCACAAAATAGTTATACTGTTCTAAAGAGATTCAAATATAAACAACCACCTAATCCCACCTAGCCACAAAATAGTTATACTGTTCTAACTAGATTGAAATATAAACAACCACCTAGTCCCACCTAGCCACAAAATAGTTATACTGTTCTAACTAGATTGAAATATAAACAATCACCTAATCCCACCTAGCCACCAAATAGTTATACTGTTCTAACTAGATTGAAATATAAACAATCACTTAATCCCACCTAGCCACAAAATAGTTATACTGTTCTAACTAGATTGAAATATAAACAATCACCTAATCCCACCTAGCCACAAAATAGTTATACTGTTCTTAAGAGATTCAAATATAAACAACCACCTAATCCCACCTAGCCACAAAATAGTTATACTGTTCTAACTAGATTGAAATATAAACAACCACCTAGTCCCACCTAGCCACAAAATAGTTATACTGTTCTAACTAGATTGAAATATAAACAATCACCTAATCCCACCTAGCCACCAAATAGTTATACTGTTCTAACTAGATTGAAATATAAACAACCACCTAATCCCACCTAGCCACAAAATATTTATATTGTTCTAATTAGATTGAAATATAAACAATCACGTAATGATGATCCGTCCTTATCCCACCTAGCCACAAAATAGTTATACTGTTCTAACTAGATTGAAATATAAACAATCAACTAACCCCACCTAGCCACAAAATAGTTATATTGTTCTAATTAGATTGAAATATAAACAATCACCTAATCCCACCTAGCCACAAAATAATTATACTGTTCTAACTAGATTGAAATATAAACAATCACCTAATCCCACCTAGCCACAAAATAGTTATACTGTTCTAACTAGATTGAAAAATAAACAACCACCTAATCCCACCTAGCCACAAAATAGTTATACTGTTGTAACTAAATTGAAACATTTACAATCACCTTATCCCACCCATCAACCAAATAGTTATACTGTTTTGATTAAATTGAAATATAAACAATCACCTAATCCCACCTAGCCACAAAATAGTTATACTGTTGTAACTAGATGGAAATATAAACAATTACCTAATCCCACCTGTCCACCAAATAGTTATACTGTTCTAACTAGATTGAAATATTAACAATCACCTAATCCCACCCATCCACCAAATACACCATGTAAAACGCCACATGCGGGGTGTTGGCTATGTTTGACACAGGGTGGTGGTTTTGAAGCGGCCAAGATAAGTAAAAGTATCAAAATTTCTTTGTTGAGTATTGTTAGTACCAAATAATGTATTGCACAGAAGGAACCTAACCATAATCTACTTTCAGCAAGCAGATTCAGACATTCCCAGTGCTCTGTTTTCTCAAACACCTCTCCCAAGTTTGAGACTTCATACACAAGTTTCAGGATTTTTTCATGTATGATTTATATAGAAATGAATTCCTTTCATATAATTGAAACAAATGCCAGCTTCTTAGTTAACAATTATTGGTTTAAAAGTAAATTTACAATCGAAATGTTCACCTTTCAATTGTATACATTTCAAAAGCCATAGAGATACAAAGTTTTTGTTGTCTAAATTCCATTTAATCATCAACAATATTTGTACTTAGTCTAACACTATAAAAAGTTCAAACATATTTGTAACAGTTCAAACTATGAAACTTGATTAAATTTCAGCTATAAAATTTGGATTGCATCCAAAAAGGAGATAACTCAAACCATCTTACTAAAAGATGAATCACAGCACTGATTGCAGAGTTATATAGAATACAACAGAAAGGGGCATTGCATCACAAAAAAGATAGATTTCATAAGTGATTTTCCTTTGGAATACAGGCAAATTCGGAAAAATTCATTATTCTTCCTGGATAAAATGTTCAACTAGCTGTGTTAATTGTAAAATTAAGCGACCCATTAAGTACATGGCTTCACTTGACAGCTTTGGTGTCAGAAACACAGTTAATTAACACCAATTACCTTAGCCTAAGGCCATAAATAATTTGTGAATTTCAAAGATGCTTGAAAAAAAAACCCAGGTTGCTTCCCCTTTTTTGTCACTTTTCACTGTACACTCTTTAAAATGATGTTTTTATTATTTTATTGTACTTCCTTATCTTTTTTAATGCACATATACAACTCTTAATTATTTTTCCTAAATTCACAAACACATATCTAGGCCTATCTTGGTTTATACAACAAATTTAGCTACTAAATTCACATATTATATACACAATTCAATTTGGCATACCAAATTTCTCCACTCTTTACTTGGCTGCTGGTGTACTATAACAATGTTGCTGCTGCTCTTTGTCATTTGTTTGTTGTTTTCTCCTGTTCTGGCTTTTAGTGGCACCTATTTTTATTTATTATGTTTTTATGTTCCGTTCGTTTGTTCGTTCGTCCGTTAGTTCATCTGTCTGTCCACCCATCCGTCGGCCCGTCCGTCCGTCCGTCTGTCCCGTTTCAGGTGAAAGTTTTTAGTCAAGGTAGTTTTTGATGAAGTTGATGTCCAATCAACTTGAAACTTAGTACAGATGTTCCCTATGATATGATCTTTCAAATTTTAATGCCAAATTAGAGTTTTGACACCAAATTAAACGGTCCACTGTACATAGAAAATGATAGTGCCTGCTTCAGGTTAAAGTTTTTGGTCAAGGTAGTTTTTGATGAAGTTGAAGTCCAATCAACTTGAAACTTAGTACACATGTTCCCTATGATATGATCTTTCTAATTTTAATGCCAAATTAGAGTTTTGACCCCAATTTCACGGTCCACTGAACATAGAAAATGATAGTGTGAGTGGGGCAGCCGTGTACTATGGACACATTCTTGTTGTTCTTTATTTATTTATATTTTTTTATTATTTAATTATTTCATCTACCAATTATTATTCATCAATTTATTTATTCGTTTATTTTTCATCCAATTATTGTTCATTTCACTATTTATTCATGTATAATATTTATGTTATGTTTTGATCTCTCAAATTATATAAATTACCTTAAGGTAAAAATAAATGATTAAAATGGCCGAAAAGAGTTTAAGCCAAGGCTGACCCATGGGTGGTCAAGGTTGTTAAACACCCCGGCCACTAGTAGTGGTTTCAAAAAAATTGCCCACCGTGCAAGACCGTCATGGGTAGTCAAGGTCGTTGAACATGCATCCCCTAGTAGTAGTTTAAACTGGAATGTACAGTCAAGAAAAATGAGTAATGATACCATATCATTAGTGTTTCTTTAAGCTATTATAAAACTTAACACATTTGAATTTTGGTTTTATTAATGACTGTGTGAATGAAACAATAAAATGAGAATTGATATAATATAATAAATCAAAATTTAATGATTAATACATGCAATGAAAACATAAAATAAAAGTTTTAAATTACTTTTAGTAATACTTTACCATCTGAATATGTTTTGAAAACTGGTATTTGATTTTATAGAATATAAAAAGTGTCCCTTAAATACTTAAATTTTGCTGAAAAATTGTGTCTAGCAAAATGAAATCCAAAAACTGCCAAAACAGAACCACCAAAACTGTAAAGAATCATGAATAAAAAGAGTCATTGGGCAGAGGTCAATGAGACCCCAACTCAACAACACACATTGATCACAAAAACCAAAAGAGCTGAACAGACAGATAAATTAAATCAGTTTGAATTCAGCCTTGATTCTAGAAAAGTTGTGAAATTAAACAGAGATCACCAAAGATCGGATATTAACACCTATTAATTTCATAGATAACCAAAAACATTGAAATGGAACTATAAAGACAATCAAGAATATGATCAATATTGTTTATTGCACCTTAGCTTTGGCACAAGTATATCATTAAATCAGAATCACACAATAATTCATTCCTTTAAGTTCTTTTGGAAATGTATCTTTTTTTCTGTATAATATTCTTAAATAAACTGATAGAGGAACTGCATCTATCTTCATGCTTTATTTAGAATTCCTATTTCAACAACCTATTCATTATCAGCTGTCAAAACACATAAATTTCTGATAATTTCGACCAAAAATATCAACTGAAAAGTTCAGTGATATTGTTTTTGCTTGCTTAACCCCTTCGCCCCCAATCCCGCCTGTAGTCGTGATGGCGACCACCATTCTTTGATGGCCCGTATGACCATCCATACTTTTTTAGAACTGCCCCAGCTGAACTGACTTGACAGCAGGGACTTCAACCATGCACTTCATGGTCCATAAACTCATCTCAGATGTGTGTTTAAGAAAATATGGCAACTTTAATGTTTGCAAATTTTCGAAAAATGCCTGATTTTCCTGAAATCTCTTGGGGTCGAATGAGTTAAACTTAAAAATTTGTTTTCCTATTTTCAACCTTAAAAGAATGTTTTGGTCAGTTTTACACCCCAAAACGCCCGTAAAACCCAACAGAAGTCAAATTTGACGATTTCGATAAATTACGTTTAGACCCCTTCGCCCCCAATCCCGCCTGTAGTCGTGATGGCGACCACCATTCTTTAATGGCCCATATGACCCTCCATACTTTTTTTCGAACTACCCCAGCTGAACTATCTTGACAGCAGGGACTTCAACCATGCAATTCATGGTTCATAAACTTATCTCAGATGTGTGTTTATGAAAATATGGCAACTTTAATGGCCTTTTTAGAGTTCAAAATCGGAAAAACGTGAAAAGTAGCCAAAATCAGGTGGGGGTGGGAGTCTTTTGATGGCCACTACGTTACTGGTATGGGCTGTAGGTATTAACTATTATAAATACATGCATAGGAGGTACAGGAACACAAGGAGGTATAATACGGCCAAAAGAAATCTGGTCTGTAAAATCTAGGTCACCGTTTTGTCAGAAATCTGTAAAAACAGACATTTAGGCAGACCTGGCTTGCCAATAATAATTCCCCAGCAAGACACTCAAGTCACATGTACTTCCAGTCAGAATGGATACACTGCTGTAACTATAAGGTAATACTATAAGAAACACAGTTTGGTCAATGTTCACCTCTCAAGGTCATATTAAAATCGAAAAATAGACTGAAAATGACCACTTTTCAGTAGGGGTGTGGTCAAACCCACCAAAAAATATATCAACTCCCACCCCACCCCACCCCCCACCCATGCCATCTGCCCCCAAATCTCAATACATAGTTTAAAAGATCAGCATCAGGTAGAGCATCAAGAGTCTACTAATTTGCATATAATTTGCATATGTTTGCAAATTTTCGAAAATGCCTGATTTTCCAGAAATCTCTTGGGATCGAATGAGTTAAACAAAGGTTGTGTTACAGTCTAATGTTAGGTTTTACCAATGAACCTCACATACTTTATTCTTCCAACGAACCTCACATACTTTATTCCACATGTTTAATCTGAAAGTGAGTCTGAAAGTTCACCCAAGTAATCCCCATGAGGAATTCCATTGCCAGATCTTTTACAGTTGTGACATTCATATCTTTAAAGGATAGAAGCATTTTCACTTCTGTTTAACATTTAGACAAGGTTCAAATTTACCGGAACTAAACTTCCTACAGACAGACGTAAAAACCTTAGTTTTATGAATGCATCAGAGTTATTGCTTCAAAGAATAGTTTGAAATTTTACTGATTTTTTATGCCCCCCCCCACCACCAGAAGCGGAGGGGGCATTAAGTTTTACCCTTGTCTGTCTGTACATCCATACATCTGTACATCCAAAAATTGGTTTCCGTTCTCTATCTTTAGTTTGCCTCAACCAAATGTTGTGAAACTCATTCACAATGCTTATTACCACAAAACACAGATCAAGATTGAATTTTGGTGGCATCACTTTTACTGTTCTAGAGTTATGCCCCTTTAGAAATGGAGAAATTCTTGATTTTTCTGTTCCGTTCTCTTACTTAAGTTTGCCTCAACCAAATGTTAGGAAACTTATACACAATGCTTATTACCACAAAACTCAGATCAAGTACGAATTTAGGTAGCGTCACTTATACTGTTATAAGCCCTGAGTTCTGCCCCTTTATAACATTATATGTGTTATAAGTGGGGGCATCATCTGTGTCCCATGGGCACATTCCACTTTTATAGCACATTCTATTTATTTTGTGGAGATAAAGGCAAGCCAGCATTGGGTTTTTTTGCTGATGTGGAAGTGTCTGAGAACTGGAAGATTTTTTTTTTTTAAGATTTTTTTTGTTATTTTGTGTTTTGTATTTATTTTTCAGAATGGCCTGCAGTTTTATTGGCATATATTGGAAAATGTTCAGATGACTTCCAACAAAGTGAACAACTTTGAATCCCTGTATTGTACAATGTGTTTATTATGTGTTGAAATTGGATGTGATGAAATGGTTATAGAATTACTTAGACTTGGTTTAGATTTACAGGTATGTACCTCCTATAAAATTAAAATAAAATTCTTATTTGTTAATTCTATGAAACGTCATGACTGATTTTGGTGCATTTACATCATAGCACAACATATGTCATACAAGCAAGAACACTTAAACTGAGGTTATTTTTTTATTTGTGCAACACAGATTTGGATAAGATTTCTTTGAAACAGTATTTTTGAGGTAGATTATGTTAATTTCTATTAAATTGTATTAAACTAACATTTATGGATTCCAGTAATTCAAATGGTTGTCCAAGGCATATGTCAGTTGTGGATTTGAAGGTATTAATTCAGAGCTCCAGATAAGAATTCACAAATTGGGGTTTTACCTACCATTTTTTTATGTAATTGAGTGAAACAGTTTTTTCAATTGCATTATTAATTCCAATTCACCCCTCAAGCAAATATCAAATTGTGTATTTCACCACCAAGCTCCTTCATGTATTAGTTCTTTTCATCAACAAGATATTGAATTAAGGCATGTTATAATGAATTTATATCAAACCGAGATGTCCATCCATCTTAAATGTGTTTCTTTCATTATATATATATATGAGATGGCTGTTTTTGTCTCGCTTGACGGAGTCAAAAAGCGAGAAATAGGTATGCTGTTTCCGGCAACGGCGGCGGTGTCAACAATGTATTAGTTTGTGATTAGTCTAGTTTATGGTAAACCACTAGTGGTAAGTTAAAGATATTTGGTATGCAGTTGTATTAGTATTGGCACATCTCATTACCATGGAGATTATTTGGCCCGCCCCCTCAGTTATGGTCTATTGACTTTGAAACTTTTGCTTAGTTTTCATGTATGAGTTTGTAATTAGATCGGTTTATGGGGAACCACTAGTGGTAGGTTAATGATATTTGGTATGCAGTTGTATTAGCATTGGTACATCTCATTACAATGGGGATTATTTGACCCCGCCCCCTCAGTTATGGTTTATTGAATTTGAAATTTTGCTTAGTTTACATGTATTAGGTTGTGTTTAGGTTGGTTTAAAGGGAACTACTTATGATAAGTCAATGGTATTTGATATGCAGTTGTATTAGCATTGGCACATCTCATTTCCATAGAGATTGTTTGGCCATGTACCTTCAGTCATGATTCATTTACTTTTAATATTTGCAAAACTTACATGTAAAAGTGTTGCTATTTCAATTTCAACATTTGCATTATCGAAATAACCAAAAAGCGAGACATATATCTGTGATAACAGTTTATATTTGGTTTATACCCTGATGAGCAATTGTTCGTTTAATTTGTGTCTGGTTTGTTTAACTGTTCTGCTAGTTTTGTATTTTCTCTAAATTTATATAAACTGGTGTCACTAGTGGGGCAGTAACTAAGTACCTTTCTAGAGCACATTCGATCACCCTTCGGTTTATTTGGGGTAGGTGTGGCTAAGTTTTTAGATTTTTATGTAGTACTTGTGATCATTGGATCAGGGTTAGGGTTTATTTGGGGTAGGTGTGGCTAGGTTTTTAGATTTTTATGTAGTACTTGTGATCATTGGATCAGGGTTAGGGTTTATTTGGGGTAGGTGTGGCTAAGTTTTTAGATTTTTATGTAGTACTTGTTGTCATTGGATCCTGTAGGACAGTTTTGCCTGTCCTATCAACTGTTTGCCAGACCTACTTAAAAAAAAAAAATATAGTTCCCAGTTGGATTAAGATACACCTTAAAACCTTGACTAGAATGACCAGGTTAAGGATATGACCAAGGGGTGGTTTAATGACTTGAGACCACACTCAATTTAAATGATCCTGCAACATCAAATAAATAAATGAAAATGTTGTACTACACTTGCCAATTGTCTTATTGTCATAAGAACAATTAGATAAAAAACAAAGACGGCAAGCTACATTGACATCAAACAAATATGTGTGTTCACTCATCAACAGCAATGAAAAAAAAATACTCATTTAAAACTGAAATAATACTTGAATGTGTTTGTTTAATTGTACTTACATAAAATTATCTGGTCGTTATAGTTGTCCCTTATAAGAACTTTTGGTTTCCAATACTTTTAACTATATAATTGATTTGGCCGTTCACTGTTCCAACTAATTTAATTCTTGCACCACTGATTAGTCACAGGAGACGAAACCCGTGTTTGTTGTACTAACAATGTTCTCGTTAAGACGCATATACTCACCCTTGACACATGGTTTTCTATGCATGAACCAGTGTGTCCGAGGAACGCTTCCTGATAACACTACATGTAGCTGAGTCTTGTTATCATAATGATCCCTCAGTTATCAAAAAGAAGCTGAAAACATTTAATATTTTACTGGAAATTTAATTTGGTTTTAATTCATTCATTGTCATAAATCCTGAGCAAAACCAAAATAATTATGATCACTTATGCCTATTGGATAAATGCAGAGAAGATCGAAATTTATTTACATCAGCAGGCTTACCTTTTTGAGCAACAGACAATTCCAACAGGGACCCAGATCAACTATTTGATGTAACGCTCTATTTTAAGAACGATAGATTTCCAATTAAAAATATTACAACAATTGATTTACGGGACGATAATGTATAGATAAGGGTGAATAACGCACACGAAAACAACTAAAAGGGTTGAGAACCCATGGTTTTGACATTAAATCGGGTTTTCCTTTGCATGAATTGGGTTTTTGAACGCTGTAATAGTCAATTGCATTGGGTTTTCAATTGTTTTTATTGCATGATCAGGCAAAGACGCAGCTTATCTACTGGAGCTCTGTAAATTTTAGCCAATGGAAAGAGTTGCTACATAAAGATTTCATTAGAATTTCATTTTACAGGTATTCTGTATTAGAGAATTTACAAGAAGTAGTGGATTTGTTAAAGATAATATATGTGCCGGGTTAGTCTCAAGTTGTTAATCGTTTCTGAATCCACTACTTCTTAGGAATTCTCTAGCTTAACCCATATCTGGTAAAATGACTGTCTGTTTGATGTTTTGACAATAAATCAAGGGAATTAAATAAATTCTATAATTGATTCATTTACAGTATTTAATAATGTAGAAGTTATAACTGATGAGCTGGGAAATGAAAATAATCATTATTGATGCCATTTAACATGTAATTCTATAGCAATCTACCCACCTAAACTGTCACATGTGTACATGTAAATAAAATTTGTTTTTAAGAAATGTACCATTGTTGAAATACTGATAGCAAATTCAGATGGCTGCATGAGAAATATTTTTCATATGGTACCAACATTAAAATATCAAGCATAATTCATGAATAGAATATTAAATCATATTTGATAAAACTTATTTTATACAATGTTAAAGAATAATATTGATATTTTTTTCCAGCAATTAGCAATGACTAATTCATCTTTACCCCTAACACATAAATGTGCTGTCCATGGTATGGTAGCTGCTTACCTTAACCTAGCCAGTCAGTTGTTATGTGAACAACCAGTCTGTCAGTATGTCTCAGAAGTAAGTATTGTTAACAGCTAACCTTAACCTAGCTTGAACAACCAGTCTGTCAGTATATCTCAGAAATAAATATTGTTAACATCTAACCTTAACCTAGCCAGTAAGTTGTGAACAACCAGTCTGTCAGTATATCTCAGAAGTAAGTATTGTTAACAGCTAACCTTAACCTAGCCAGTCAGTTGTTATGTGAACAACCAGTCTGTCAGTATGTTCCAGAAGTAAGTATTGTTAACAGCTAACCTTAACCTAGCCTGAACAACCAGCTGTCTGTCAGTATATCTCAGAAATAAGTATTGTTAACATCTAACCTTAACCTAGCCAGTAAGTTGTGAACAACCAGTCTGTCAGTATATCTCAGAAGTAAGTATTGTTAACAGCTAACCTTAACCTAGCCTGTCAGTAGTTATGTGAACAACCAGTATGTCAGTATATCTCAGAAGTAAGTATTGTTAACAGCTAACCTTAACCTAGCCAGTCAGTAGTTATGTGAACAACCAGTCTGTCAGTATATCTCAGAAATAAATATTGTTAACAGCTAACCTTAACCTAGCAAGTCAATTGTGAACAACCAGTCTGTCAGTATATCTCAGAAGTAAGTATTGTTAACAGCTAACCTTAACCTAGCCAGTCAGTTGTTATGTGAACTACCAGTATGTCAGTATATCTCAGAAGTAAGTATTGTTAACAGCTAACCTTAACCTAGCCAGTCAGTAGTTATGTGAACAACCAGTCTGTCAGTATATCTCAGAAATAAATATTGTTAACAGCTAACCTTAACCTAGCAAGTCAGTTGTGAACAACCAGTCTGTCAGTTTATCTCAGAAGTAAGTATTGTTAACAGCTAACCTTAACCTAGCCAGTCAGTTGTTATGTGAACAACCAGTCTGTCAGTTCATCTCAGAAGTAAGTATTGTTAACAGCTAACCTTAACCTAGCTAGTAAATTGTTATGTAAACAACCAGTCTGTCAGTATATCTCAGAAGTAAGTATTGTTAACAGCTAACCTTAACTTAGCCAGTCAGTTGTTATGTGAACTACCAGTCTGTCAGTATATCTCATAAGTAAGTATTGATAACAGCTAACCTTAACCAAGCCAGTCAGTTGCTATTTGAACAACCAGTCTGTCAGTATATCTCAGAAGTAAGTATTGTTAACAGCTAACCTTAACCAAGCCAGTAAGTTGTTATTTGAACAACAAGGTTGTCAGTATATCTCAGAAGAAGGTAGTGTTAACAGCTAATCCTAACTAAGCCAGTCAGTTGTTATGTGAACAACCAGTCTGTCAGTATATCTCATAAGTTAGTATTGTTAACAAATAACCTTAACCAAGCCAGTCAGTTGTTATGTGAACAACCAGGTTGTCAGTATATCGCAGAAATAAATATTGTTAACATCTAACCTTAACCTAGCCAGTAAGTTGTGAACAACCAGTCTGTCAGTATATCTCAGAAGTAAGTATTGTTAACAGCTAACCTTAACCTAGCCAGTCAGTAGTTATGTGAACAAACAGTTTGTCAGTATATCTCAGAAATAAATATTGTTAACAGCTAACCTTAACCTAGCAAGTCAGTTGTGAACAACCAGTCTGTCAGTATATCTCAGAAGTAAGTATTGTTAACAGCTAACCTTAACCTAGCCAGTCAGTTGTTATGTGAACAACCAGTCTGTCAGTATGTTCCAGAAGTAAGTATTGTTAACAGCTAACCTTAACCTAGCCTGAACAACCAGCTGTCTGTCAGTATATCTCAGAAATAAATATTGTTAACAGCTAACCTTAACCTAGCAAGTCAGTTGTGAACAACCAGTCTGTCAGTATATCTTAGAAGTAAGTATTGTTAACAGCTAACCTTAACCTAGCCAGTCAGTTGTTATGTGAACTACCAGTATGTCAGTATATCTCAGAAGTAAGTATTGTTAACAGCTAACCTTAACCTAGCCAGTCAGTAGTTATGTGAACAACCAGTCTGTCAGTATATCTCAGAAATAAATATTGTTAACAGCTAACCTTAACCTAGCAAGTCAATTGTGAACAACCAGTCTGTCAGTATATCTCAGAAGTAAGTATTGTTAACAGTTAACCTTAACCTAGCCAGTCAGTTGTTATGTGAACAACCAGTCTGTCAGTATATCTCAGAAATAAATATTGTTAACAGCTAACCTTAACCTAGCAAGTCAGTTGTGAACAACCAGTCTGTCAGTATATCTCAGAAGTAAGTATTGTTAACAGTTAACCTTAACCTAGCCAGTTAGTTGTTATGTGAACAACCAGGTTGTCAGTATATCTCATAAGGAAGTATTGTTAACAGCTAACCTTAACCTAGCCAGTCAGTTGTTATGTGAACTACCAGTCTGTCATTATATCTCAGAAGTTAGTATTCTTAACAGCTAACCTTAACCAAGCCAGTCAGTTGTTATTTGAACAACCAGTCTGTCAGTATATCTCAGAAGTAAGTATTGTTAACAGCTAACCTTAACCAAGCCAGTCAGTTAATATTTGAACAACCAGGTTATCAGCATATCTCAGAAGTAAGTATTGTTAACAGCTAACCTTAACCTAGCCAGTCACTTGTTATGTGAACAACCAGCCTGTCAGTTTATCTCAGAAGTAAGTATTGTTAACAGCTAACCTTAACCTAGCCTGTCAGTTGTTATGTGAACATCCAGTTTGTCAGTATATCTCAGAAGTAATTATTGTTAACAGCTAACCTTAACCTAGCCAGTCAGTTGTTATGTGGAAACCAGTCTGTCAGTATATCTCAGAAGTAGGTATTGTTAACAGCTAACCTTAACCTAGCCAGTCAGTTGTTATGTCAACTACCAGTCTGTCAGTATATCTCAGAAGTAAGTTTTGTTAATAGCTAATTTTAACCTAGCCAGTCAGTTGTTATGTTAACACCAGTCTGTCAGTATATCTCAGAAGTAGGTATTGTTAACAGCTAACTTAACCTAGCCAGTCAGTTGTTATGTGAACTACCAGTATGTCAGTATATCTCAGAAGTAAGTTTTGTTAACAGCTAACCTTTATTTAGCCAGTCAGTTGTTATGTGAACAACCAGTATGTCAGTATATCTCAGAAGAAGGTATTGTTAACAGCTAACCTTTACTTAACCAGGCATTTGTGAACAACCAGTCTGTCAGTATATCTCAGAAGTAAGTAATAGTAATATAGTGTTATTAACTGGCTGTTTCTGTATAGGCCCAGTTATAGATTTGAGGTTAGATTTGAACCAAAGACTTGAAGAGTCGAGGGCCTATACAGCTGTTTGAGAATCTATAACAGGGCCAATACAGAAACAGCCAGTACATAACACTTTTACTGATTGACGGTTGTCATTTACATAACAGTAATGATAGTTGTTTATCTAGCAATATCCTTAATGTCCACTTGCTTGAGATGTCTTACATGTGACTATCATGAGGTAAAGTTTTGATTTTAAACAATGACTTTCATTTACAGGAATGTTTTGTCGTCAGTAAAACAATGTTTTAAGTTGGTCATTTACATATCCTATTGATAAAAGGTCATCAATGGTCTTTATCTATGTGTTGCGTTTTCTTTGAAATATTCACTGTCATTTTATTTTCGCATATTAACTCCTTTTGGGAAAAGAACGAAAAATAAAACTGCTGCGGAAATTTCCCTGTTCACAGTATCAAGTTTTGGACTCCAACACTTTGGTCAAATAAAATTTGTTTAATTGTTGTTGGAGTGCAAATTTAGTTTAATTTATTTGGTCATTAACTTAATGATTGATAAATGCAATAAAAAGTCTTTAAGCACCAACTTTGAACAGAAACAAGAAAGCACATAAAGTCTGTGATAACATATTGCCTTATAAAAGTGTAAGGGTTTATATCTTTAGGTTTTTGGTACTCCCTGTTATCCTTTATATGTACTTTTAGATTATAGAGACAAGAAGAAAAGAAGCCCCACACTACCTTCCAGAGTTTGCTTTCAATAGAGCCAACAGACCAAACAGGTAAGCAGTACAGAAAATTGTCATACCAATCTCCTTCTACAAATCATACAAAAGATAGTCTCTCCTTCCACAAATCATACAAGTGATATTCTCTCCATCAACAAATCATACAAGTTATAGTCTCTCTTTTGTGCGATGTTACGCTCCGTTAATGTACATAACGTTTTGAACTTCTTATTCTTATGCGATAGCAAAAAACATTATCATGTTCAAATTTATTTTAGACGATAAAACAAAGACTTATAATTAAATTTTGATCCTTACTGTTTATAAATGGGTATTTCATGTTTAGTTTGACTTACAAAAACAAGCGGATAAGAAAAAAAATCTATGCAAAATAATATTTCATGTATTGATAGTAAATAAAGCATAGGCAGTGGAATAAAACATTCATTTCCCTTTGCCTCGGGAGATATGAAGATTTGCTCACCCTCGAAAAATCATATTTCCCTCGGGCAGAGCCCTCATGAAATATGAATATTCTTGGGTGAACAAATCTTAATATCTCCCTCCAGCATGGGAAATAAATGTATAGTGTTTCCTTTGACAAATCATACAAGTGATAGTCTCTCCTTTGACAAATCATACAAGTGATAGTCTCTACTTTGACAAATATACTAGTGATAGTGTCTCCTTTGACAAATCATACAAGTGATAGTCTCTCCTTAGACAAATCATACAAGTGATAGTCTCTCCTTGGACAAATAATACAAATCTCCTTCGATAAATCATACAAAAGATAGTCTCACCTTCGACAAATCATACCAATGATAGTCTCTCCAACAAATCATACAAGTGATAGTCTCTCCTTCAACAAATCATACAAATGATAGTGTCTCTTTCGACAAATCATACAAGTGATAGTGTCTCCTTTGACAAAGCATACAAGTGATAGTGTCTCCTTTAACAAATCATACAAGTGATAGTTTCTCCTTAGACAAATCATACAAGTGATAGTCTCTCCTTCAACAAATCATACAAGTGATAGTCTCTCCTTCAACAAATCATACAAATGATAGTCTCTCCTTCAAAAGATCATACAAGTGATAGTGTCTCCTTTGACAAATCATACAAGTGATAGTCTCTCCTTTGACAAATCATATTAGTGATAGTGTCTCATTTGACAATTCATACAAGTGATAGTCTCTCCTTCTACAAATCATACAAGTGATAGTCTCTCCTTTGACAAATCATACAAGTCATAGTCTCTCCTTTGACAAATCATACAAGTGATAGTGTCTCCTTTGACAAATCATACAAGTGAAAGTCTCTTCTTTGACAAATCATACAAAAGATAGTCTCTCCTTCCACAAATCATACAAACAATAGTCTCTCCTTTGACAAATCATACAAGTGATAGTCTCTCCTTTGACAAATCATACTAGTGATAGTGTCTAATTTGACAAATCATACAAGTGATAGCCTCTCCTTAGACAAATCATACAAGTGATAGACTCTCCTTCCACAAATCATACAAGTGATAGTGTCTCCTTTGACAAATCATACATGTGATAGTCTCTCCTTTGACAAATCATACAAGTGATAGTGTCTCCTTTGACAAATCATACAAATGATAGTCTCTCCTTTGAAAAACCAGATAAGTGATAGTCTCTCCTCTGACAAATCATACAAATGATAGTCTTTCCTTTGAAAAACCAGACAAGTGATAGTCTCTCCTTGGACAAATCATACAAATCTCCTTTGACAAATCATACAAAAGATAGTCTCTCCTTCCACAAATCATACAAACAATAGTCTCTCCAACAAATCATACCAATGATAGTGTCTCCTTTGACAAATCATAAAAGTGATAGTCTCTCCTTTGAAAATCAATACAAGTGATAGTCTCTCCTTGGACAAATCATACAAATCTCCTTTGACAAATCATACAAATGATAGTCTCTCCTTCCACAAATCATACATACAATAGTCTCTCCAACAAATCATACTAATGATAGTGTCTCCTTTGACAAATCATACAAGTGATAGTCTCTCCTTCAACAAATCATACAAGTGATAGTCTCTCCTTTGACGAATCATACAAGTGATAGTCTCTCCTTTGACGAATCATACAAGTGATAGTCTCTCCTTTGACAAATCATACAAGTGATAGTCTCTCCTTTGACAAATCATACAAGTGATTGTCTCTCCTTTGACAAATTATGCAAATGATAGTCTCTCCTTTGACAAGTCATACAAGTGATAGTCTCTCCTTTGACAAATCATACAAGTGATAGTCTCTCCTTCCTCAAATCATGCAAGTGATAGTCTCTCCTTCCACAAATCATACAAAAGATAGTCTCTCCTTTGACAAATCATACAAATGATAGTCTCTTCTTTGACAAATCATACAAGTGATAGTCTCTCTTTCGACAAATCATACAAGTGATAGTCTCTCCTTCCACAAATCATACATACAATAGTCTCTCCATCAAATCATACTAATGATAGTGTCTCCTTTGACAAATCATACAAATGATAGTCTCTCCTTCAACAAATCATACAAGTGATAGTCTCTCCTTTGACGAATCATACAAGTGATAGTCTCACCTTCGACAAATCATACCAATGATAGTCTCTCCAACAAATCATACAAGTGATAGTCTCTCCTTCAACAAATCATACAAATGATAGTGTCTCTTTCGACAAATCATACAAGTGATAGTGTCTCCTTTGACAAAGCATACAAGTGATAGTGTCTCCTTTAACAAATCATACAAGTGATAGTTTCTCCTTAGACAAATCATACAAGTGATAGTCTCTCCTTCAACAAATCATACAAGTTATAGTCTCTCCTTCAACAAATCATACAAATGATAGTCTCTCCTTCAAAAGATCATACAAGTGATAGTGTCTCCTTTGACAAATCATACAAGTGATAGTCTCTCCTTTGACAAATCATATTAGTGATAGTGTCTCATTTGACAATTCATACAAGTGATAGTCTCTCCTTCTACAAATCATACAAGTGATAGTCTCTCCTTTGACAAATCATACAAGTCATAGTCTCTCCTTTGACAAATCATACAAGTGATAGTGTCTCCTTTGACAAATCATACAAGTGAAAGTCTCTTCTTTGACAAATCATACAAAAGATAGTCTCTCCTTCCACAAATCATACAAACAATAGTCTCTCCTTTGACAAATCATACAAGTGATAGTCTCTCCTTTGACAAATCATACTAGTGATAGTGTCTAATTTGACAAATCATACAAGTGATAGCCTCTCCTTAGACAAATCATACAAGTGATAGACTCTCCTTCCACAAATCATACAAGTGATAGTGTCTCCTTTGACAAATCATACATGTGATAGTCTCTCCTTTGACAAATCATACAAGTGATAGTGTCTCCTTTGACAAATCATACAAATGATAGTCTCTCCTTTGAAAAACCAGATAAGTGATAGTCTCTCCTCGGACAAATCATACAAATGATAGTCTTTCCTTTGAAAAACCAGACAAGTGATAGTCTCTCCTTGGACAAATCATACAAATCTCCTTTGACAAATCATACAAAAGATAGTCTCTCCTTCCACAAATCATACAAACAATAGTCTCTCCAACAAATCATACCAATGATAGTGTCTCCTTTGACAAATCATAAAAGTGATAGTCTCTCCTTTGAAAATCCATACAAGTGATAGTCTCTCCTTGGACAAATCATACAAATCTCCTTTGACAAATCATACAAATGATAGTCTCTCCTTCCACAAATCATACATACAATAGTCTCTCCAACAAATCATACTAATGATAGTGTCTCCTTTGACAAATCATACAAGTGATAGTCTCTCCTTCAACAAATCATACAAGTGATAGTCTCTCCTTTGACGAATCATACAAGTGATAGTCTCTCCTTTGACGAATCATACAAGTGATAGTCTCTCCTTTGACAAATCATACAAGTGATAGTCTCTCCTTTGACAAATCATACAAGTGATTGTCTCTCCTTTGACAAATTATGCAAATGATAGTCTCTCCTTTGACAAGTCATACAAGTGATAGTCTCTCCTTTGACAAATCATACAAGTGATAGTCTCTCCTTCCTCAAATCATGCAAGTGATAGTCTCTCCTTCCACAAATCATACAAAAGATAGTCTCTCCTTTGACAAATCATACAAATGATAGTCTCTTCTTTGACAAATCATACAAGTGATAGTCTCTCTTTCGACAAATCATACAAGTGATAGTCTCTCCTTCCACAAATCATACATACAATAGTCTCTCCATCAAATCATACTAATGATAGTGTCTCCTTTGACAAATCATACAAATGATAGTCTCTCCTTCAACAAATCATACAAGTGATAGTCTCTCCTTTGACGAATCATACAAGTGATAGTCTCTCCTTTGACGAATCATACAAGTGATTGTCTCTCCTTTGACAAATCATACAAATGATAGTCACTCCTTCGACAAATCATACAAGTGATAGTCTCTCCTTCCACAACTCATACAAGTGATAGTCTCTCCTTTGACAAATCATACAAGTGATAGTCTCTCCTTCCACAAATCATACAAGTGATAGTCTCTACTTTGACAAATCATACAAGTGATTGTCTCTCCTTCCACAAATCATTCAACTTCCACAAATCATACAAGTGATAGTCTCTCCTTTGACGAATCATACAAGTGATAGTCTCTCCTTTGACAAATCATACAAGTGATAGTCTCTCCTTCCTCAAATCATGCAAGTGATAGTCTCTCCTTCCACAAATCATACAAAAGATAGTCTCTCCTTTGACAAATCATACAAATGATAGTCTCTTCTTTCACAAATCATACAAGGTTTAGTCTCTCTTTTGACAAATCATACAAGTGATAGTCTCTCCTTCTACAAATCTTACAAGTGATAGTCTCTCCTTTGACAAATCATACAAGTGATAGTCTCTCCTTTGACAAATCATACAAGTTATAGTCTCTCCTTTGACAAATCATACAAAGATAGTCTCTCCTTTGACAAATCATACAAGTGATAGTCTCTCCTTTAACAAATT